CTAGCTATGTCATTTGCCCTGCAGAAGCTCTGCAACTTTATGCAATCCCATTTGTCCAACCTTTCTTTGATTTGTTGTGTTTCTGGGTCTCTATTCAGAAAATTTCGAAGGCCCAACCTTTTGCTCAAGGCTAGGGCTGTACAAATTTGAGCCACAGTTCTACTTCTGGTTTTTGAGTAGTTAGTTGGAGATAGTCTCATAGACTTTCCTGCCCAGACTAGCTTTGAACCATAATCCTCAGATCTCAGCCTCCTGAGTAGCTAGGATTACAGACTTGAGCCACCACCCCCTGGCTAGTATAGTTTTGACAGTACTGGGGTTTGAACTCAGGGCCTCAAGAGATTATATCATATTCATATTATTTTTTTTTCAAACAGCTGCAGTGCAGTATCTCCAGAGTGACAGGATGTACTTTCTGTCCTTGTCATTTACAGTTGGTGGCACCTCTTTCCCAGCTCAGCATCCATGGAAGTGTGCACTGGCGATAGAGCTTTCTTATTGTGTAGGACTGGATGTTGTGACATCCCAGATGTTTGCACTGAACCCGAGACTTTTTCTCCCGTCCTCAGTGTTCCACTGCTCTCCCCTCACTTCGCCAACTGCTGCCGCTGCTTTTCTCCAGGCTTTCTGGTGGACGGTGTGGAGCTTGTTTGATTTTGCGGTGTTGTCATTCCATAATAGATGAGGGCTGTTGCCCTGACAACAGGAGCCCATTGAAACAATAAGATAGCTATCCAAGAAATGGGACAAGGTGGGGAGGGGGCGGGAAGAAGAACAGCAAGAACTGGGCCATTCGGTCTGCACTGTGGGGCCCGCTGGAGACTGCTGAAGCGCAACTAGCAACACAAGGGGGACCCTGACTTGGATCCATGAGTTTTTAGTTTCAGTCAGCAGTGGAGCTGCCTTCAATGCTGTGTAGCTCTGCTGAGGTCAAGGTAGCCAAAGTAGTAAGAGACCTCAGGGCCAAGAAGGGGCACTAAGAGGCCAGGAAGCATCCTGGTGCCTCCCTTCCCACCATCACTGATGTCACACAGGCAGGCATTGACAAAAGGCAATTGCTGAGTTCTGGGAGTGGGATGATGCCTGGACCATCTTGAAAAGCCATGAAGCAAGGGCCAGCCAGGGGGGGGCATCTGTACCTGCCTTCCCTGCAGCCCTCCTCAGGACACAGGTGAGGGCTGCCAATCCTTCTCTCCCTGGCTGGATCCTGCTGAGGTTGACACCCGGTCCCTGTGCAGGTACTATTTTCTTCACTGAGGTTTCTGTTCATTCCCTAGGTTGCAACAAAACCTGCAGTCCTACAAGAGACATTCTAGCTGGGCATGGTAGTGGACACCTGTAACCACAGCACTCAGGAGACTGAGGCAGGTCATCCGTTTGAGGCCAGCTTGGACTATATAACAACATCCTGTCTCAAAAAAATTTAAGGGCTGAGACGAAGACGAAGCTCAGGGGAGATACTCTGTAAATTACCTCTGCCCAGACTGTGCTGTGTTCTCACGGTGTCTTGGCTCTGCCTCCCAACACTGACTTGTTGGTCATGCACCCACAGCATGCCTGGGCACTGACATGCTTTCTCAGTAGCCTATAACCTCCAGAAGGCAAGGGACTTGGAGGCACTGTGCCACGCCATATGGCCAAGGCTCACCATGGTGCCTGGCATGTGCTGGAGTTCACTGTGGACCTGCCACAGGTCCTTTGACATGAGCAACTGGTTTGGGGACTGACGTCTCAACTTCACTTAAGGGTAGGAAAGGTTGAAATGGAACATTTTAGGACAAAAAACACAATTAAAAATGAAATTTATCTTTTTGTAGTGATAGAAGTTTTTTTTTTAAGCATCTGAAAACCTATGTGGGCTGTTAAAAAGTCATTAGTGTGAGATCTGATCATGGATTTATTTTTATTTTTTATTTTGTCAGTAGTGAGGTTTGAACTATGGGCCTGGGTGCTGTCCCTCAGCTCTTCAGCTCAAGGCGAGCACTCTACCACTTGAGCCACAGCACCACTTCTGGTTTTCTGATGATTAATTGGAGATCAGAGTCTCAGGGACAATCCTGCCAGGGCTGGCTTTGAACCGAGATCCTCAGATCTCAGCATCCTGAATAGCTAGGATTACAGGCACGAGCCACTGGTGCCCTGCTTGATCATTGATGTTTAAGTCATATAAAGGACAAGCATTTAAATCTATTTTTATGAAATTTATTTCCAAACCAAAGTGGCAGTGTATACAAAGATAACAGAGCTTGTGATAATTTATAGGAATGTTTTGTTTCACATGCACATTAGGAAGTGTTTCCAACATATACATACTAGGTTTCATGCTGAATAAATAACCCCAATTAATTTTTATTTTTACAAAAAATAGAATATTGCACTCTTAACAAGACCAGTTATTTTGCATATTTTTCTTTATGATGAAATTCAGCCCTAAAAAAAGACTGAGTAGCAACCCTGTTCTAACAGGAGACCAATTTAAAGTTCTTAGTAAAAAATGGAAGCTAGACAATAGTTGTGTTTTCTTTTTGAAGCCATCACTGCAATGTGAGAGAGAATTCTCACCTCTGCACCAATGTGGCTTGTGCCGGCTTGGGCACAGCTTGCAAGGTTGGGCCCATGCGTGCAGCCCAAGATTAGAAGCACATGTGGCCCACTGTGCTTATCCTGACAGTCAGCAGAAACTTTGGAATTGCATTTTATAGTTTTTAAGCAGAATGTTTTAGAAAGTCTGGAAGTTACAAAAGTAGTTGTGTAAACATCATCTGAATTAAATTTCTGTAATAAGTGAATGACTTATTCTGAGGCAGGAATGCATCTTTTTATGGTAACATTTCCATGCCTATGTTAGAGTGTTTTCAAAGTCACTATAGCAGCACCCCAAGTGAAAATACGGTTGTTCCCACAGTGCCGGAGCGACTGTCCCACATGCTAGAGGAATGAGGCTTCAGAGCTCCAGGTCTTCTAGGTAGTACACTCAGCTTCCTATTGCCCTCAGAAACCTCAGGTGGTTCAGGCTAAAAGGACCAGAGTGAAAACAGCTTTCTAAGACAGGCATTCTGCTCTCCGTTTAAAACACAGTAATCTGTCTCCTTCCAGAACTGTGTTTCCTGCAGATCAGATGACCTGCCTTCCCTGGGCTGCAAGCTGGCACACCTGGCAGATTTTTTTGCCCAGTGGAGGTTTGCTATAGTAAGCGCTAAATGCTCTGGAAGGGACATTGTTAATGACATTCCACTTAAACCTTCATGGTTCAACTCAGGACATTCAATTTCTAGTGCTAGGGATTTTAAGTAAAAATTTCATAAGGAAACAGGATACATCTGAAATCAAAGATATAGGTATTCTTGCAGTGACTTCAAAAGAATTCTGGTTCTCCTTTGAGTTAAGAAGGGAACTGGCAAACAAAGCCTAATGCTGAGATGCATTTGCTGACTTTTCATATTCAGATTTTCCATAAAATGATTGGTGCAGAGACACCTAATGAATGATTTGCTTCTCAAAGAAAGCAATTGTTAAGTCCTGAAAATTTTTATTTTGTTTTCTTTCCTTTTTTTTTGAAGGGTAGGTGTGGGGTATTTCAAGACAGAAAACTTTTAAAATACAATTTTTAGACCATTTGATATAATTAGCCAATTTAAAGTCTACTGGCCCTTCTAGAAAAAAAAAAGGACACTCAGGAAAAACATGATTCGTATGGTCACTAGTGCGCTGACCCCACCTCCCACATCATCACTGAACTAGGACAGAAATCTCCTCCTGCAAACAGAGGCGACTTGGATTTGGTGCGGAGGAACAGATATCGTGGGTCCTGGATGGTCTGTTCCATCCTCGTCTCTTCAGGCTCAGCCCCCTACAAGTGGTAATGCTGGAACCTCCAGGCCGGAGGTCAAGTGCTCTGGGGGGCTCAGTCCCCGCTCACCCGGCTGCGTAGCTGCTGAGGAAGGCATAGAACATGGGCTGCTTCAGGCGCTGCTGGTCCTTCCGGCACCAGGCAATCACCGTTCCCTCACTGTTGGCGGTGTACAGATGGTGGCCATCACAGGAAAACGTGAGGCTGCAAAGACAAACCCGTTTGTGTGTTGTTTCACCTTGTTGGTCACATTACCCAAGTCAGAATTCAGCAGTCAGGAGCCCTCCCCTAGGGGTGGAGGGATGGGAACTGAATGACTGGCTGTCTTTTTCTCTCAGGTACATGGGGTGGGTCCCAGGGCCTTGCATGTGCTCTACCCTGAGCTCCAGAGCCAGACCAGGTCATTAGTTCTGACTATAAACTGTAACACAGCCACTCTGCTCACACGGCTGAAGCTCCTGTTAGCTGGCTGACCTAGAATCAAACTGAGGCCCAAGAATTAAGGATTAAGAATTAAGTCTGGCCGGGCACTGGTGGCTCAGGCCTGTAATCCTAGCTACTCAGGAGGCTGAGATCTGAGGATCGCGGTTCAAAGCCAGCCCGGGCAGGAAAGACCGTGAGACTCCTATCTCCAATAAACCACCAGAAAACCGGAAGTGGCGCTGTAGCTCAAGTGGTAGAGTGCTCGCCTTGAGCTGAAGAGCTGAGGGACAGCGCTCAGGCCCAGAGTTCAAGCCCCACGACCGACAAAAAAAAAAAAAAAAAAAAAAGAATTAAGTCTGTTCCTTCTTTGCACATTTTCTTCCTTCTTGTTTATGCTAAACAACAAATACTTGGGCGTGGAAACTTTGAAAAATACAAAAGCAGTTATTTTATCCTTAAAAATTAAATGATAATTAAAAAAAATTTTTATTGTGAAAATACTGTACAGAGGGGTTACAATTACATGGGCAAGATAATGAGTACATTTCTTACCAAGCATTGTAGCCTCCTCCTTTGTTTCCCCTTCCCATCCTTCTCTCCCCCCCTACCAAAGTTGTAAAGTTCGTTTTCGACATAACGACTTGTACATCTCACTGTTGCATGATAGATGATGTTAAGATAGATTCTATTTCCCTGAAAGAGGAACAGGTAAGACAATCTAATTTTGGTTCCTCAGGCTTTAAATTTAGTTTAATAAAAATAAATTTATTTTTTGGTAGTACTGGGGTTTGAAATTAGGGTCCTAATTACTAGGCAAGGTGCTCTACCACTTGAACCATGTCCTAAGACATTGTTTTGGTTGGTCATGGGGCTTGGACTCTGGGCCTGAGGGCTGTCCCTCAGCTCTTCAGCTCAAGGCTAGTGCTCTACCACTTGAGCTACAGGGCCACTTCTGGTTTTCTAGTGGTTTACTAGAGATAAAGAGTCTTGAGGTCTTTCATGCCTGGGCTGGCTTTGAACCACGATCCTCAGATCTCAGCCTCCTGAGTAGCTAGGATTACAGGCATGAGGCCCTGGTGCCCGACTTCTCAAGACATTTTATTTTAGTTTTTGAGTACGATCTTGTACTTATGTCTGGGCCAGTCTGGATCATGATCTTCCTACTTATGCTGCTTTTGTAGCTGGGACCACATGCAGGTACCCCTAAACCCAGTCTTTTATTTTATGATATGGTGTCTTGCAAACATTTTGCATGGACTAGCTTCAAACCATGATCTTTCTGATCTCTGCCCCCTGAGGGACTGGGATTATAAGTATTCACCATCATACGTGGCTAAATTTATTTTTAATACAGGATAATTTGAACTGCTTTACTTGTAGTTGGGTTTTTAAGGCTGAGCTTATGACCTGAGCCCAGGGTAACAGTCTGCCTGTCTGGTCAAGCAGAGCCTGATGTAGGCAGGCTCAGTACAGACGAGGAGGGAGAAGAGCAGCAACCATCATCCAGAGGTCTCCTGGCACACCACCCTGCCTTTCCAATACATGCTGAGAGGCGGGCTCAGAGCGAAGCTCTAGTACCCAGGTGGGCACCACACCTCTAGCTGCTGGGTCACGGACAACCTGCCCACTGACAAATGTGTTTTCCTGGGATGTCTTCTGTCACACACATCTGAGGTCTGTACACTTTAACATTTCTTAACAACATGATCACAAATTCTATTATGAAGAATGAAACTGGAAGATCTTACCTCACAATAGGCTTATTTGACTTGGGAAATATGATTTCCCTCACAGGTTTCAGGTCCCATGTACTCCACAACCTAGGGGAAAAAACAAACAAAACAAACAACAGTCATTACCCAATTACATAAACTAAAACTTTCTGCACTGAGAACACCTACACACTGTTTGCTTGTTAACTAACCTGGAAGGAAATAAACAACAGCATTATCTCTGAGAGGTTTGCGGGGAAGGGGTGAAGAAAAAGGAACTTTCACTTTGTATACTTTCTGTGTGTGTGATTTTTTTTTATTTGCTGTCCTGTGGCTTCAACTCAGGACCTGGGCATTGTCCCTAAGTCTCTGTACTCAAGGCTAGTGTTCTACTACTTGATCCATAGCACCACTTCCAACTTTTTCTAAGAGTCTCATGTACTTTCTTGCCTGGGCTGGCTTCAATCTGTGATTCTCAGATCTCAGCCTCCTGAGTAGCTAGAATTATAGATATAGTCCCTGGTATTCGGCTGTGTTTTTTTTTTTGGGGGGGCATAATTGGAGTACTTTAGTCTGAACTGACCTCATGCTTAGTATGCTCTACCACTTGAGCTGTGCCTTTATCCCCCTTTTGTTTTAGTTATTTTTCAGACAGGGTCCTTGCCCTTGCCCGAGCTGCACTTGGACCAAGATCCTCCTACCTAAATTTCCTGCATAGCTGGGATTTAGGCATGAACCACTGGGCAGCCTTAATACTATATAGATATAAAAACACATTTATGAAAAGGAGGAGGAAGAAGAGAAAAAGAGGAGGAAAAGGAGGAAAAGGAAGAGGATAAAAGAGGAGGAAAGGAAGAGAAGAAGGAGGAAAAGGAGAAGGAAGAGAAAGAGGAATCCAAACTCCTCTTACCTTACAATTCCATTTTCTAATCCCCCAGCAATTACGTTGATGGATACTCCCTCTGGCTGGTTGGAGAAGGCCACAGAACAAATGATCTCTCTACAGTGGACATGTCCAACAAGGTCCCCGTTCACTGTCCAGAGTCTCAGATCACTGCCCCCGCCAGCTGCAACACCAAGTTCCCCACAGGTCAGCAGATATGGGGGTGCACAGCCCGGGAGCATACCTCAGGGGCTGGATGAAGTTCACAGACAAACCAAAATTGAAGCCTCAAAATCACTGCACTGTGCATCTCACATGGGTAATACACAAACACAAGAGTACCAACCCCCACATGAGTGAGCCCAAAAAGGCAGATTCATAGAGACAGAAGGAGAACACAGGTGAGTAGGGGCCAAGATGGGGAGGAGGATGGAGCTTACAGATGTCATGAGGGTTGATCAAAAGGTGTTTTAAATTGTAGTGATGTCTGTACACCACTGTTAACATAATTAATGAGGCTGAATTGTGTATTTCAAATATGGCCTAAAATGGCAAATTGTATGGTAACTCTATTTGAACACACACACACTCCAGCGTCCCCAGGACTCTGCACTGTAGAGCACTGACCTGGAGATATTGTCTAAACAGTACTTAGCTTTTCACAGCAGCTGCTGTGGCCTTTTCTTTTAAGCTTATGGTCTGCTGAAAGGTTTGTTAAAGATGGAATGCGAGGGGAGTGCTGGTCAGGGAAGGTTGTGAGAGTCACTGAGTGCACATCCAGGGCATACTCGCAGGCTGGGTTGGCACACAGCCATTGCCCAGCCTGGCCCTTTAAAATGGAAAACCCAGGTGGGCCTGCAGCTAATGCAGTGAGCTCTGGACCTGTCTAGCCACACACTCATCCTAGCAGCCAACCTGTACTCTGGACCACCACAAAACCAGGAAACTTCTCACATGCCCAAGACTATGCATAACCAAACTGGATGCTGATATTTAACACCAGATTACTGCTACAAGTCAACAACTTGGGCACCCCCAAATCCTTCCATCCTTACTTAGACACTGACCTGGCCTCAGTCCTCACATGAGGAGGAAGCCATGATGTTATAAAAACAGCAATGTTCAATTACAACATTTCCAGAATTTAGCCAGTATTGCATCTTATTGCTATAAAATACACATCCTATAATAGCCAATGAATTATGATTAGGAGGAATGAGATTTCCAATGCAAATGTTGAGACTTTATGCACATATATATGCTATATATACATATACACAGACATACATGCATGTATCTGCAATTTTTTGCATGTATGTGGAGCTGGGATATGAGCCTAGAACCTCACAATTGCTAGGCAGGTACTCTACCACTTCAGACACTGCCATCCTTTTTGTTTTGAGACAAGGTGTCATTTTATGACCAGGTCTGTGATCTTCCTACTTAAGCATCCTGCACAGTTGAGTTGACAGGCATGTACCACAAGCCCAGCCACTGCTGGAAATAGACTCTCATGAACTCTTTTTTGCTCCAAAAAGCCTCAACTATCAAGCCCTGAATCTCGGCCTCCCAAGTAGCTAAAAAGGTACAGGCTTGAGCCCCCACAGTTGGTTTATTTTTATTGTACAACTATGTGATGGCATCCACTGAAAGGCAAAGATCTTAGCCACTGAAAGGCTAAGTCTAATAACGGTCCTGTCTTCTCAACCTATAAGGAAACAGGAGTCTGGTCTGGGTCGCTAAATATATTTGGCTTCTCTTAAAAAAATAATTTTCTTCCATTCTTAAGAGGATATGGTAAACCATGGGTCTCTGATGTCCATTATGCTGTTGTTAAAAAAGTAATTTCAAAAAATATGGTCTTCATACCAAGTGCTTTTATGACTTTTTATATATGTACCAATAGGCCTTAAAAAAGTTGAGAAGGCTTTTTTTTTTTGTTCAAATTGGGAGAAGTTTTAACCATTACTGTTACTCTCTGCTACTGGGGAACATATTAATACCTACTAGTGAGTTGTAATTACAGCAAAAGTAATTTTGCTTGGAGTTCCCATATGACTAGCTAATCTAGTATCTCCAATGTAAATCACTGCCAGCAGCAGGGAAATAACTGACAAAACTCAGCTCCCTCAGGATCAGTCCCAACTTGCAAATGTTGCCAAACCAAGAAAGTAGAGAACCTCATATAAACCATCACTGTATTACCCCCAGCACCCTCTGGACGTGCCCAGTGAAAGGAGGGAACCTCTGTATAAACCATCACCATACCCTCCATCCCCCCAATAGCCTCTCGATTTGCACAGTGAAAGCTGATGATGGAGAAGCCAAGGAAGAACAACCAGCAAGGTCATCAGTCGTGTGCGTACTGCATGAGGGCTTCTCCCTGACTCCTGCTTGATTCATTTCTTATGGCATGATTGACTGGCTGGGGGCTGAGTGGCAGAAGAAACACACCTGAAATTTGTCATCATGACTTAAGACATTTCTTTTCTTGAATAGAACAATGAATGAATGTGGTATAATAAAAAATAAATACTTGGCCTTAGCCCCCAGTTCCTAGTACTGTGCTTCCAAACACCTTAGAATCTACTGTCTTCCGAATTCTCGGTGGGAGGGGTCTGGGTAGCCTGAGGATTGGAGCAGGCCAATCAGTGAGGCCACCACAAATGAGAAGATGGGGATTTTCAGACCTTGCTCCTGAAGGAGGAAGAGCAGACCGTTGGGTACCAAGCACAATTATGCATGAAACCTCCATAAAACCCCTACAGGACATGGCCAGGAGCTCTTCCAGCTGGAGGGCCAGAGCAGAGCCTGGTGCAGCTCAGCTCCATGGGAAAGAGGCCCCTTCCAGACCTTACTGTCGTGCAAGCTGTCATCTGCCTCCACTTTTCTTTCCTTTATAATGAGCTCTGCCCCTCCAGACCAGAGCAGATCAGAATCCCTGGAGCTGGGTGCCACAGGGCCAAAGAGGACTTGGAGGCAGTTTACCCAATACAGGGGTTAACAGCAGCCTTCTACTCTCCTCAGCCTCTCCCCACACAACCCCCTCCCCTGCTTAGCCTACCAGGTACCTTTCTATTCCACAACTGTGTCTCCAAACCCAACTCATTGAACATGTGTTCTCTAACAAGGAAAGTAATAAAGCTAGTAACTAAAATAAAATAAAATAGGTTAGAAAAAAGGCTCTAAGAAAACTCAGATAATCAGGTAACAACAGTTTGTTTAAATGTGCTCATTTATTAGGGGAAGGCTGAATTATGACATTATGAACTCCTGCCTAAGTTAATACCTGAGTTGGGCAATGTGGCCTTGGGCTTTGTTGTATTTTCACAGGCACACATGCTGCGACTAAAGTGATTAGCCTTGTGAGGGACAGGGGACAGAGACCAGCTTGGCCAGAGGTGGAGAGGCAGAGCTGTGCTGTGGATATGGTCATCTCACCTGAATCACACACAGTAGCGATATCCCCTGACGTTTCACTGGCAGAGACAGCTGTGACAGGACTTTTATGTCCTGCTAGACTCTGAACATAGCACAGCCTGAAAAACAACAGATGTGAACTTTCATATGGTTGTTATACAGAATGACATCCTATACATTTCTACAGCTCTTTTCCTCAGCCTGTATGTCTGTTTTTCACAAGACAACAGGCCTCAGGTACTCTTGCTAAAAGCTGTAAGGTAGTCACACAGTTTGCTGTGTGGTGTCTGGGGTGGAGCTTCCCCTACCTGTTTAGGTCCCATATAATGCAGGTACCATCTCTGCTCACGCTGATCATGACACTGTATGGCTTGCAGACACACAGGCTGGTTATTTCGTCTGTGTGCCCATAGAGATGAACCTGTGCCTCCATTTCTATCTCTGAAGGCTGCAAAGTAGAAATTAAGTGAAGGATGGGATAAAAACAACCATAACACACCCTAGTGTAACATCTCACACAGGAAAAAGCAGAATGACTCGTATATTCTCATTTGTTTTTTTGGGGGGGTCTGGTCGTGGGGCCTGAACTCTGGGCCTGGGCGTTGTCCCTCAGCTCTTCAGCTCAAGGCTAACACACTACCACTTGAGCCATAGCACCACTTCTGGCTGTTTTTTTTTTTCTTTCTGCTTATGTGGTGCCTCATGCATGCAAAGCAAGCACTCTACCACTGAGCCACTTTCCCAGCCCCTCATTTGATCATTTCTTTAGTTAACCTAGTTAATTTTTTTTTTCTCCAATCCCGGTGATTGAACTCAGAGCCTGGGTGCTATCCCCAAGCCTCTCTGTGCTCAAGGGTAGCACTCTACCACTTGACCCACAGCAGCACTTCTGGCTTTTTCTGAGTAGCTTACTGGAGATAAGAGTCTCATGGACTTTCCTGCCAGGTCTGGCTTTGAACTGTGATCATGAGCTCTCAGCCTCCTGAGTAGCTAGGATTACAGGCGTGAGCCACCAGTACCTATCTAGTTCAAACGTTTTTTTTTTTTTTTTGTCGGTCGTGGGGCTTGAACTCTGGACCTGGGCGCTGTCCCTCAGCTCTTCAGCTCAAGGCGAGCGCTCTACCACTTGAGCTACAGCGCCACTTCCGGTTTTCTGGTGGTTTATTGGAGATAGGA